GGGTCCGTGGGAATTCTCTTTGCTTTCCACTCAGTTTTGCTATGAACTTAAAACTCCTCTAAAAAGTATTTTTCTTGATGGCATAAACTTGTTAAAAAAAATACATACGTGTTGACGTGGGTCCATGGATCAGTGTCTGAGAGGGTTGTCTCTGGGTTCCCTAAAACTGTGTGAGAAATATGGTGTGTATGACATTTTTCTGAGTGTGGCTGTAGCTTTAATCAGATCCGTGAAGGGAGCCCCTTCCTTCCCCAGGTTGTGGGATATGGGGGGGGGCGGCGGCAGAGCACCAACCTGTCACCCCAAACCCCAAGGTTCCTCCAGACAGCGGAGATGGTGAAGCCCTCCACCCCGTCCCCCAGCCATGAGTCCAGCAGCTCGTCAGGCTCCGATGAAGGCACTGAGTACTACCCCCACCTGGGTGAGAGGCATTCCGGGCGCTGCACTGGTGGGCAGGGGAGAGTGGGGGGCGGAAACCGGGAGTACTCTGGGGAGGGGGCGCTGGGAGGAGCACCTGTGGGGGTTGTGAGGAGAGTCAAAAAGGATTAGCTGCCACTTCCTCTGAGGGTCCCCCTGGCCATCAGGGCGTGACCCCCGAGTCCAGCTCTGGCCCCTCTATCAGAATGGGAGCCCCTTGGGGGCAGGACCCTAGTCTGCCTGTTTCTGGGTCCATGGCACGGGGCTCAGGGAGTGAGTGTGGCGGCGGCCCCAGTGGCGCCACGCACCCTGTTCACCCTGCTTGGGCCCCTGCTTGCGCATCCTTGGTCCGCTCTGTCCTTGCCCTGCGCTCTGACGCACTGCTCCTCTGCAAAGATCCGACTCATTTATGACACCCCAGGCAGGGTCTTCCCTGCTTCCTCCCCCTGGCCCAGCCCCTGGTCTTTCTGCCAGGCTCCTGAGCACGTGGCTGTCAGACTGGGGACTTCCTGAGGGCAGAAACCAGCTCTGACTCATTTCTCTGGGTCCCCAGCGCTTCCCAGCACAGGGCCTGGTACTAAAGGGAAGTTACTTATCATGTAAATACAAGTGATCTGAACTCAGGGGCAGGGCCCTCTGGTCTTTGGTGTGAGAAGGGGAGTCCGAGTGGTGAGTGGCAGTGGCAAGCGCGAGCTCCCCGTCTCCTCCCACCCGCAGTCTTCCTGCAGAACAAAGCTCGCCGGGAGGACTTCTGCCCTCGGAAGCTGCGGCAGATGCACCTGATGATTGACCAGCTCATGGCCCACTCCCACCTGCGGTACAAGGGTGAGGGTCCCCCAGCCACCCCCGAAGCTGGCCAGTGGCCTCCTGGCTCCCAATCCAGTCCCATAGCCCGGCCCCCAGACCCGTCCCCTGACCCCAGCTTGACCACCCTGCGCATACCTCCCCCGGCCCTGCAGCACTGTGCCTGCAGCCTCACGGGTTCCCTCCGCCAGGTACGCTGTCCATGTTACAGTGCAACGTCTTCCCTGGGCTCCCACCCGACTTCCTGGACTCCGAGGTCAATCTGTTCCTGATGCCCTTCATGGACAGCGAGGCAGAGAGTGAAACCCCCCCAAGAGCAGGTACGGTTCCACCTCGAGGGGATCTGGTCCGTAGGGAGACACGGCCCACCTGGTTAGAGGGAGACACAGGCTGCCCCGGTCTGGGGGTGACAGGGACCCGCCCTGGTCTGAGAGGAGACTCAAGCCTGTCCCTAAGGTGCTCAGACCCTTCCGTAGGAGCATGTTTCCGAGTCACGGGAGAACGGGGGGACCCGGGCCAGGGCTGAACTCAGAGGCGCTCCTGGCAGCCAGGATGCTGTTGACGGGGAGGAAGGGCCTCTGTCGGCGGGCTGCCCCCTTCCCCTCCGCTCCTAACTTCTGACTCTCAGGACCCAGTTCCAGCCCACTCTTCTCCCTGCTCCCTGGGTACCGGGGCCACCCCAGCTTCCAGTCCTTGGTGAGCAAGCTCCGGAGCCAAGTGATGTCCATGGCCCGGCCGCAGCTGTCACACACGATCCTCACCGAGAAGAACTGGTGAGAGCGCTCAGCAGAGGAGTCAGTGCGAGGGCCCCAGCTCGGCCGTGTTGAGGGTCTCGGAGGCCTCTCCACACCTCAGCTTCCCTTCCTGGAGCGCTCATGAGTGCTACCATCTTGTTGCCGTTCCATGCGATTTTGAATCCCAATCAGCCGGGAGGGTGTAGATCTTGTCACCGGTTGTACTAGTGGGGAGGTTCAGGCTCAGAGAAGGAAGTGTCACGTAGCAAGGTCATATGCACTGTGGTTGGGTGTCACTTGACTGCAAGGAGTAGGGCCAGTGAGCCCAGTCAAGTTTAAAGATTTATTCTGAGGCCCTGAGTGCAGAGAGCATAGCTGCGCCGGAGAGGAAAGCGGAAAGGAGCCGCGGGAGCCGTTCTCCAGGCCCCGCCTCCCCCCACCAGCCCCCTCCCCTGGGAGCCTCTGCCTCTGGCTTTCTCCACCTTCCTTCACAAAGCCCTGCGCTGCCGCCCCAGCCCCGACTCTACGCGGCTCTCTGTGCCCGGAGCCCACAGCAGTGCTGCCACAGACCCGGGGCCGCCTCATCTCATTTTCCAGAGAAGCAGAAACTTGAGAAGTTGCTGCAGCTTGGCTCCCGGGTCTGTCTGCCCTCAGCTGTGGGCAGGAGGCGGGGCGGGGCGTGCAGACACAGCCCCACTCGGGAGCTCTGTTTCTCTCTTTGGTCTACACCAGGGCCCAGCGGGCAGGGGAGAATTTGGCAGGTGGGAGGGTTATGCAGCTGCTAGACATTTCTGATCATCACAAGACTCTGGAGGGATATAGAGATAGACCCCTACCCACAAAGGCCAGCACTGAGTGGAGCGGGAACCACTTTGGGCCCAGAGGTGGGCGCTCGAGGACTGCACCTTCACTTCCCCTGGGGGAGGTGGGGGGATCAGGCCACCTAGCATCGGCGTTGGCATCTTCCCTGTATCCCAGGCGTTATAGTCATGCGGGGGCCGCAGCCAGGGCAGCTCTGACTGTTGACCTCCCCTCACAGGTTCCACTACGCCGCCCGGATCTGGGACGGGGTGAAAAAGTCCTCCGCCCTGGCAGAGTACAGCCGCCTGCTGGCCTGAGGCCAAGGGGAGGAATGTCTCGCAGAGAACCCCCTTCCGGGCCCCCAGTGGATGGCGAGGGGCACCCACGTCCTCTCCCCGCGGGGCGGAGAGTGGCAGCAGGCCTGATGGACAAGGGACCGTGACTTCCTCACCCGGAGACATGAGGTGTCCAGGGCCGGTCCCCCATCCTCAAGGGAGCGTTGTTCAGGGGGTGACTTTGAGATCCCGCCCCCTGCCTGGACGAGGTAGCCCATCATCAGCCCCCACAGGGACAGGTGGTGGGAGGAGCCTGAGTGGTCACCAGGAAGCCCAGGCTCCATGTTGGCCTCCCTCTGCAGGGAAGGAGCAGCAGGTCCCTCTGCCCTGACTCCAGGCCCCTGCCTGGAAGGTGAGGCAGGGTCTGGGAGCTCTTTATTGGGGCAGATCCGGTGGCTGGAATAAAAACAGTCATGCAAGCCTGTTCTGGCGCTCATCTTCCCCCTCCCCAGCGTGCTGTCCTGGGAATCCCCCCCAGTTCTGGGTCCCAGCCCTTGGGGGCAGGTTAGCCATGGCCTCCCATTGGAGCCTGAATGAACTTCCCGTGGGCACATCCACTGTAGGTCAGAGAGTTGTCAGGGGTGCTTAAAGACCAGTCTTTGCTGCAGAGGAAGCCTCTAGAAAGGGGTATGCTATTTCCTGGGGTGATATCAAGCCTCCCGTCTCTGTGTGCCATGGAGAGGAAGATACAGGGCCCTCGTTTTCTGCTCACTTGAAGACGGTGCCTTCCTTTTGGTGAAATGCCTAGTTAAATGCATTGCCTAACTCAATTCGTTAAAAAGTAGAACACGTCCTTAGTTAAATACAATTAGTCAATATAGTATACTGTCACTCGGTATCCACAAGGGATTGGTTCCAGGACCTCCCATAGATACCAAAATCCTTCGATGCTCAAGTCCTGTATATTAAACAGCATAGTATTTGCACGTAACCTACGCACATCCTTCCATCTACTGTAAGTCATCTTCTAGACTAGTTAAAAATCCTAATCCATGGGCTTCCCTGGTGGCGCAGTGGTTGAGAGTCCGCCTGCCGATGCAGGGGACGCAGGTTCGTGCCCGGTCCGGGAAGATCCCACGTGCCGCGGAGCGCCTGGGTCCGTGAGCCATGGCCGCTGAGCCTGCGCGTCAGGAGCCTGTGCTCCGCAACAGGAGGGGCCACGCCTGCATACTGCAAAAACAAACAAACAAAAAAACCTAATCCACCAGTCAGTGCTATGTAAATAGTTGTAAATACCATGTAAATGGTATGTAAATGGTTGCCAGCACTTGGAAAAGTCAAGTTTTACTTTTTGGAACTGTGGAATTTTTTTTTCAAATATTTTCAATTCAAGGTTGGTTGAATCCATGGATGTGGAACCCTCGGATACAGAGGGCCAACTGCCCTTCCCCTTTGTCAAAGCAGGTTCTACCCTTGTTCAAACACTCATATGTTAGCCTTACACACGGTGGCTTCCTTCCTCTCTGAACCTCAGCTGCTCTGGCTGAGAAATGGTCCCTCCCTTTAACCCAGAACCTACCCTCAATTAAATACACCATACAGTTCAATGTAGTACCTATCCTCACCTGCTCAGTTAAATACGGTACATCATCCTAGTTTAGTGTTTCCCAAAGTATGTCTCCGGATTGGTCTGTTCACCACACCCTAATCCCAAACTAGTCCTGGCCCTCAAATCATACCACTCCACCCTTCAGTAAGGCAGTTGGTTCCAGTCCAACCAGCTGATCTGGTCTGTCCATCACCCCCCATGCCACTTTGGTCTCCCTGGCTTCCCCCTGCCCTCTGACATACCCTGTATACAGTCCTGGTGTCCAGGTCGTGGGAATCCCGGGGTCTTTTGAGAAAAAATGGACAGCTGAAGAGGGTAGAGTAGGGGTCAGTAAAGAAAGCAGTCAGGCCAGAGAAGGTCTGGCCAGAAGTGGGGAGTCTGCAGACCCCAGGTCTGGGAGGTACGAGGCCCAGGTCAGGCTCTGACCCTGCCACCACTGGCTGAGAACCTCCCTTCATGACCCCCCCAGGCCCTTGAGAGCTGTTCACTGCCCTCTTATGGAAATGCTTCTGCATCCGTTGCCGCCGTGCCCCGATCTGCACGGACACCTTTCTGGCCGCTCTCTCCAGCCTGACAGCTGGCTCTTCTCTGCCTTATCAGAACTTAGCACTCCCGTGTGCCGTTCCCTCCCGCTGCTTCCCAGGGGAGTGCTGGTTGGTGTGTGGGTTCACCAGAGTAGGGAAGGTGGGGGCAATGCCAGCGAGACTGTGAGACCCAGGGCACAGAAGCACGAGAGCACACGGGCGCAGTCCAGGAGAGTTGCCGCTGAGTTTCTTCCTTCCCGTCCCCCAGTGCCACCCAGCCTGGGCACAGGTGGAGCCTGCGTGCTCCCAGCCCCTCACTGCCACCTCCAGCTGGCCCAGGCTCAGGGCTGGGATCCTTGACTGGATTTATCTGGGAGCTTGTGTTCGGGGTTGTCGAGGGAGGCCTCAACCAGCACGCTCTAGGTGTCCACATCCAGGGAGGTGCGGAGCATCGGTAAACAGTGGCGAAGGAGAGGCCGCAGGCGGCCAGGGAGCCCAGGATGGGCACGTTGAGGGGCTCCTGGTTGAACGCCGAGGCATCCCCGGAGGCCTGGCCCAGCAGTTCTGCCACCAGCACCTCGGTGATCTTGGTCTTCGGGCCCTGTAGCGCCTCCAGGATCTTGTGCAGGGGCCGGCCCGTCTGCTCTGCCAGCCTGACGAGGGAGCCCTCGTCCAAGCCAAAGCTGTGGCAGTAGCCCTCCAGGGAGTGGGTGAGCGTGTGTGTACAGGTCACAGGCCACTTCCGGCACGCCCGGCACGGGCCTCGGGTTGGCCCCACAGGCCACCATGGCCACCAGCCAGATGTGCTGCCGTAGCGAGGCCGCCTTCCGCTCCAGCATGGGCTTGGAGACGTTGGGCAGGGCTACCAGGAACGCGTGCTGCTTGTGGCTCTCTAGGCCCCTCACCATCGACTCCTCCAGCAGGCGGAAGGCGCACTTGCCCAGCTCAAACATGGACAGCAGAAAGACCCTGGGGTCCTTGAGGCCCTCCGCCGCAGGAGACAAAAGCACTTTCAGTGGGTTTCTGCACCAAGCCGACCCAGCTGTCCTGAGAGCTGCCTGGGTGCAAGCTGGGTCTACACAGCATGTGGCTTAAGACCGTCAGCTCTGGAGCTAGGCTGCCTGAGTTCAGATCCCAGCCTCGCTCCCTGCGCCCTGTGTGGCATCAGGCTAGTTACCAGACCTCTCTGGGCTTTCCTGTACTTATCTGTAAAACCAAGGGATGATTGTAACCTACCTCCTAGGGATGGCATGGTGGTGAACTGAGCTGGTGAAAGTGGTCCGTGGCCGCTGGTGAGCCCTCAAGAAACGTTAGCTGCCGGCCGCGACGCGTTGCCAGCATCTGCATGGGCATGGGCGGATAGCATTTGCACTGCTCTAACTTGACCAATGCATAAGCCAGTACCTACCCTTTTTTTTCCTTAATGCAAGTGACTGGTCTCCATCACAGGTGACTGAAATGGCAGCTGTAAGCAGCATTTCACCATGGGAGCCGGGTGACCCTGGGCGTCCCCTCACCCCACTGTGGGCCTCGGTGGGAAGATGCAGGGGAAGGGGGAGGCAAGCCCTCAAGAATCCAGCCCCCCCAAAATAAATAAAAACTAAAAATTAAAAAAATAAATAAGGAAATAGGAATTTCCTGGCAGTCCTGCGGTTAGGACTCTGTGATTTCACTGCCAAGGGCCCGGGTTCAATCCCTGGTTGGGGAATTAAGATCCCACAAGACGCTCGGCCAAAAAAAAAAAGAGAGAGAATCCAGCCCTCCAGAACCCGCCCCTCACCCTCCAGCCTCTGCACACAGTCGTCCCGGATCTGGATGAGCACCCTCTCCTCCGAGAAGGAGCTGGGGCGGCAGCTGCACAGGGCGGCGGTGTCCACATCCACCTTGGAGTGGATGCAGTAGAAACGCTTGCCCCGCTGCCCCGGATCTCAAGGGCCAGCTGGGCATGGTCGGCAGCGAAGCTCTCCAACGTAATGATGAGAAAGAAGTCGTACTGGCCCAGCAGCACCCGCTGGAGGTATTTGTCAGCCCGGAAGGCGTGTGCGCCTATGCCCAGCAGGTCCCAGATGACAATGTTGGGGTACTTGGGGGTGCGGGTATGGCGTGGGGTCCACGGTCATTTCCACCACACCCGTGCAGGCCGAGGTGGGGTCCTCGCCCCCCCAGCCCCTGGATGGCGTTGACAAAGGTCGACTTGCCTGAGCCCGTTCCCCTGGTAACACCAATGTCCAGCCCGACGTTCTCCCGAGGATGAAGCATAGATTGTAATTTGGCGGCTACTGCTGGCAGGTCCCCCGCCTCAAAGGCCTCCCCCAGAGCCCTGGTGCCCTTCGAGAGGCATGATTGGAAGGCTTTGCTTGCCATGGGCTGCCTGACCCCCAGCTCTCCGTCTTCAGGACTTGATGACCTCGGACAGGACAGGTAAGGGAGTATTTTCACTCTGAGCTGCCCTCTCTTCTCCACATCCCTCAGCTTGCCTGAAGTATTTTCGGCATCACCAGTAATAGCACTGAGAGTTTTACAAGATGCCAGGCCCGGTGCTAAGTGCTTTATTTAAGTTCGCATTTATTCATCACCACCAGCTTCTGCTCCTGGAGTATCTCGTCAAATCCTCAAAACAGCCAGAAAAGATTCCCTCCCTCCCTCTCCACATTTGGCATTGAGACGATAGATCACTTGCCCAAGGCCTCCAGCTGATTCCTGGGGATATTGGGAATGGGGCTGAAGTCTTTTGGTACTGGAATTCAAAGTCTTAAATTTGGAGGGGCATTTACCATGCACCAGGCACTGGGATCAACCATAAAGGGCAGTGATTAAGAGCTGGAATCTTCATCATTGCTGGTAATTATAGATCAGGTTTTATTTGATGTTTACTCTGGGCCAGCCACTGTTCTAACCATATACATGATTTCATCAAGTGCCCATTCTACAGAGCAGAAAACTGAGGCTCAGGGAGATAAAGGTCCCTTGCTAAATGTCTTACAGCCTGCACCAGAACCAGGATATGGGCCAGCTCCCTCTGATCCTTTTGCCATACAACCCCCCCCCAAAATCTTTGCACAGCTAAGCCCCCACTACGTGCCAAGACCTCTTTGGGTGCTGCATTTCCAGCACTAGCAAAAGAGACGGGTCTAGTGCATTTGTGGAAACATTACTCATCCTCGTTGCCTGGCTCCTGAGTACATGCGTGTGCTCAGGAACCACAGGGCACACCTAGGCAAGCCCCGTCCTGCCTCTAGGCCTCCGAGGCCTCACCGGTGTGATGGACGGGGCAGCCACGTTTACATCCTGGGATTGCATGACGGCGTCTAATCCCAGCCGTGCCAGGGACTTGCGGGGTGACCTGGGGCA